GTCCCCCAGCCAGCCCACCTCCACTGCTGTGCTGAGGTTCTGTCGCCCTGGGTCCCTGGGGCACCCCAAGGTCTCAGAAAAGAGAAGGATTTCAAGATGGCTTCCTGACGCATCTGGACACCCATTCGGAGGTGAGGCTTGCTGAGCTGGGCTGAGAGCCTAGGGTAGGGCTATGAGTCAGCCAGCGGGTCTCCACCTGAGTGAGTGTGTACCTTGGGGGACAGCAGAGGAAGTGTGGAGGAGGCAGGATGGGGTGGTCAGAGCAGCAGGCCTCAAAATATCTTTCAGGGACTTGCCAGTGCTGAGATTATATCCCTCCCCATTTGACAGATGGGGAAACTGAGACCCATGTACATCAAGTAGTAGGTCTCACCCAACTGGGTACCATGTGTGTCATCGTCCTTGCCTCAGCAGAGTTCAGCTCACAATCTTGGTGGACTCTGAAGATCCTTGGGGTCAGGGTGGTTCAGATGTTCAAGAGGACTCTGTTCTCCAGATGGGCCCCAAGAGGGGGCCAGGCTCATTTCTCAGCCCAACCCAGTTTCCTCACCAGACTTCTCTTATTTTGGTCTCTGACATCCTGAATCACCCAGGCCGCAAACCTCAGCTACACCCTTGTCTCTTCCTCTGTTCATGACAGCATCAAAGTGGTCACCTCTTCCCAAGGCAGAAGGGCCAGAGAGAGCAGCTCATTTGTCCAAGCTCCCACAGTATTTAGTAGCAGAACAAGGGCTAGAACCTGGAACAATCCATTCCTGGTGCAGTGATTTTCTCCTCACCCTGCTGCTGCTTTGTGACAGTCCTACCCTTGTTCTTTCCCTTCCTTCTATGCCCATTCCCACCCCTCCCACCCCCGTGCCCCGGCAATTATGGTCACAGGTTCATACTCCACTGCCCTCAATTTTCACCTTGACTTTAACAGCTTGCTGTGTGACATGGAACAAGTCACTCCACCCCTCTGTGTCTCATTTTCCTCCTCTGAACCTTCATACTACTCAGTTTTCACTCCTCATGCCACCCGTCACTCCACAGTACAGAATTTGCACCTCTTTGAGTGCTGCACAAAAAACCCACTTGCACAGAAGTCCAAGTGCTTGATGTAAATTCTACTGAAGATATTGTAGGAGATGAAGATATTGTAGCTGCTTACATCTCTCCCCACAGAGGGGCCCTCCTATGCCCCCACCAGCATTCTTCTCTCTCTTGCCCTTCCCCCATGCAGTACCCAGTCTTACTGGCTCTTCCCTGCTCTATGACACAGAGCAATTCTGCTCTGCCCCCAATTTGCATAGCTCAAATTTCAGTGCCTAGCAAAGCAGCACCTGGCAGTAAAGACAAACCACCCTCCCTAGAATGCCATTTAGTAACTACTTATTATTACTTGAAATGGGGAGCTCAGCTCTTGAAGTGGCTTATAAAGATCCTTCTACTTCAAACTGAGTGTGGTGGCTCATCCCTGTAGTCTCAGTTACTTTAGAGGCTGAGGCGGGAGGATCACTTGAGCCCAGGAATTTGACCCTGTGGTGAGCTATGATGATGATGCCACTGTACTCTAGCTCAGGCAAGAGAGAGAGACCTTATCTCAAGGGGAAAAAAAAATATCTTTCTACCTAATACACACTGTCCACACTGTATTCCCACTAAGAAGTTTCAAATCAGCTACTAAGAGAATAAAATTATCTCTCTACATTTACATGGTTTTAGAAATAGTATTACTGGCCGGGCGCGGTGGCTCACGCCTGTAATCCTAGCTCTCTGGGAGGCAGAGGCGGATTGTTTGAGCTCAGGAGTTCGAAACCAGCCTGACCAAGAGCAAGATCCTGTCTCTACTAAAAATAGAAAGAAATTAATTGGACAACTAAAAATATATAGAGAAATTAGCCGGGCATGGTGGCACATGCTTGTAGTCCCAGCTACTTGGGAGGCTGAGGCAGGAGGATCGCCTGAGCCCAGGAGTTTGAGGTTGCTGTGAGCTAGGATGACACCACAGCACTCTAGCCCAGGCAACACAGTGAGACTCTGTCTCAAAAAAAAAAAAAAAAATAGTATTACTAACACCCATCTCACAGGATTGTTGTGAGCATTCCAACCATATGCACCTAAAATAAAATGGATGTTCAGTAAATAGTCATTTCTTTCCTGTCATTCCCCCTCTAGAACACCTTTCCTCACTCCTCTACCAAGCTCTTCCAAGCTCCCCAGACCACGAGTCTCCAAGCCAGGAGTCACCAAATGCCCCCACATCCACAGCAGTGCTCCGGGACTGGCAATCCCTACCTCAGCCCAACCTAGGGCCCAGAAAACAGGAGGCTCCAGGGACTGAGTGGCCTCTGGCTGAAACATCTGGAAATTGCTGCACAGGTGAGACCCTGCTGAGCTCCTGGAGAGGGGTGGGTGAGGCAGAAGCATGGACAAAGAGTCCCCTGGGGGTGCAGTTGGCAGGGTGAACACAGAGGATCTCCAGAAATCCTACTATTGTAGTCTCTCCATTGGACCAAGGCACTATTTCCAGGAGGCCTCTGAACATTAAAATGTAGATGCATTTTCCAGCACAGGAAACATATCACCTGGTTTACTGGATGGGGCACTGGCCTGGGGTCAGGAGAGCTAGATTTCATTTCCACTGAGCTTCTCACCCCCTGGGCAACCTAGAGCAAATCACATGCCGTAAGTGTTTGCTGGACATTCTGTGTCAGGTCCTGGGCCTCCGGCTACACTTGCATATTGTACTTGAATTTTACAACCAGCCCATGAGACAGATATTGTTATTAACCGACCCTGGAAATGAGAAAACTGAGGCTCAAAAAGGTAAAGTCTCATAGTTAATAGTGATGGAGATGCCTTCACTCTCTCTGACATCATGATCCACACTTTTAACTCATATATCCTGCTCCCTGTGCCACAGGTACACAGGTCCCTGATGCCATGGTCTTAACCACTGAACTGTACTGCCTTTCAATACTAGGAGTTGTCCCCTTTGAAATCTGAGAGTTGTTATGTTTAAAGGATTTATTCTGTACCCAGCTAGGAGTAAACTTGTAGAATTCATGATCCTAAAATATGGCCCGGGGCTCAAAGTATATCAATCAACTTATTCAGTCATGCCATTTCCCATTCAAAGAAAGAAAAAAAGGAAAAAAGGAAGGAAAAAAGGAAACATTAGAGGCATCTTACAGAAACATACAAATGTAATAACCTTACTATAATAGAATGCAATAACATTAAAAGTGAAAAAAGCAAGTAAGAAAGCCATGAGGACTAATCGGTTGCTATAATTGAAGTTTCCACTGGTTGTGAGCATCCCAGAAACCAGGACAAAAGGGGAAATAAAAAGGGTTACATAATACCTATTGCTCAATAGAAAAGACCAATGCAAGAGAAATACATTTTTCCCTGATTCTAAATTCTAAGCGAATTTTTCAAGTGAAGAACTTGAACAAAATTACATTCCCAATAACAGTTTCATAGCAAGTACAGAAACCACATCATATGCTTTTTGATATATCAAGAACAAAGGTAGGAAAGTGTGTTGGTGTAAAAGACAACATAGTAAATGTTTTAGGCTTAGCGGGCCGTGGTTTCTCTCTCACAAGTACTCAACTCTGCCCTCATAATCCAAAAGCAGCTATAGTTAGTATATAAACCAAAGGGCATGATGTCTGTGTTCTAATGAAACTGTACTTACGGATGCTAAATTTTGAATTTTACATAATTTGCACATCATGAAATATTATACTTCTTTTGATTTTTTTAAACCATCTAAAAATAAAACAACAATTCTTAGTTTGCAAGTAGTACTAAAACAGGTGACTGGCTGGGGTTGGCAAACTCCAGCCAAATCCAGCAGCCACCTATCTTTGTGAATTTGGCTGGAGTTTGTCAATACCTGATCAAGAACATGATATTAAAATGAAACTCATTCGTGGTATCGGGGGTAAGGGTAGAATTTTTAAAGTATGACTTGATTTAAGAGGATTTAGATACATGGCATGGTGACAGAGCCATGAAAACCAGGAGGTTTTGGAGAATGTGGCATTAAGAAGAGCCACGCCCCCAGTGGCACCTCAGGCAGACACAGTCTGAGCAGGGCAGACTATGGCCATGACCCCACATGGCCATCCTGAGGCTCGTAGAATATTTTCACCTTGCCAGAAATGTTCCCACAGGAGACAATAAAAGCAGAGCTATAGATTAGGAACTCAGATGTGGGGTGGCCCTCTGAACATCCCAGGCTCAACAGCACTAAAGGCATGAATTGACCCCACCTTCTCCACTCTCCCCAGATTTTCCTCAGCACACCTGCAAAGGTAGGACAGGTAACCTTGAACTACAGAGGCCCAGTAAGTTTCCCAGGGTGAATGGGACTTCAGCATCCCAGATGAGTCACTTGCATCATCTCTAAAATTCCACTAAGGAGAAAAGTGAGAGGCACTCGAGATATTGGGAAGGGAAAGAAAGGAAGGGGTTGTAGCAATTGTTCTATTTGGAATCTATGATGGGAGCCTGAGATCTCTCCCTAGGGGACAGTCCTACCTGTGAGCTCAGCTCCTCACAGTTCACAAGGCATCTTCCCTTGTGTCTCAGGTTGGGCTCCCTCAGAAACAGACTCTGAGTCAGGATTTGCTTGCAGATAGTTCAATGGGGAGGAGAAGTGAGGGAAGCGTGGAGCCCAAGAAAGGTGCACTATGAAGCAGATTATCCCTGGGAGCAACTGAGGTTCATGCTGCCAGAGATGTCTGGGAGACAGTGAAAACATACCTTGGATTGTCTGTCCTGGGGACAAGGGACCCTCAACCGTTGTCCACTGAGGACTCCTCCTGGAGTCTTAACTCCCCAGTGTTTCTGGCCCACCCCACTTGTGGCCCTCAGACAGATAACCACAGGTGTTGCAGAAGGATATCGTTGGCATGTACTGCAATGATGGGTGCTAAGGGGATGCTGTCAGGACCCAACAGCATCTGCAACATTTTCATTATCTCCATCAGCCCTGCATGACCTCCTACAGGGAGATCTCACAATCTCAATTTACGGATGAGAAAACTGAGGCTCAGTGGCGCTAATGGCCCAAGTCATGGGCTTAATGGGGACAGAGCCTTGTGCATATTTTGTTCATTCTTTATCCTCAGCCACTAGAACAGTACATGCTACATAATAAGCCCTTGATAAATATCTGATGAAGGAAAGTCAAACAGGGAGGATGACTTGATTCAGTCAACACTTGAACTGGGATCTTCTACCCAAAAGCCCATGTCCCTTTTGCTACATGGCAAGAAGACACCAATGTCTACAGCCAGTGCAGTGTGTGACTTGGAGTAGGTACCTAAAAAAGTTGTTGAATGAATGAACAAATGAATGAACAAGTCTATTCTATACCTTTATGTTCCATCCTTCCCTCTCTTAGGAATGAGAGAAAGATACCAGAGCCAGAGGAGAGAGAACTCCTGTTCCACACTGTCCGGGAAAAGTGAGGATTTGCACCAAAAATTCACACAGCTCATACTTCTACAAACACCTCAGCCCAGAGGCCATGAGTCCCTGGTCAGGGGAAGCTGGCATCACGACATGGTGGAGAATCAAGGACGTTTGATTGAGATCGGAGACTTATTTGGCCCAGTCCTGGGACCCCAAGAAGAACCTCGCGTAGTCATACTGCACGGTGCTGCTGGAATTGGGAAGTCAACACTAGCCAGGCAGGTGAAGAGGGCCTGGGAGGAAGGCCAACTGTACAGAGACTGCTTCCAGCACGTGTTCTACTTCAGCTGCAGGGAGCTGGCCCAGGCCAAAGTGCTCAGTCTCGCTGAGCTCATCACAAAAGCCTGGGTGGCCCCTCTGTCTACGCTTGGAGAGATCCTGTCTTGGCCAGAGTATCTGCTCTTCATCCTCGATGGTGTGGATGAGCCAAGATGGGTCTTAGAGGAGCAGAGTGCTGAGTTCTGTCTGCACTGGAGCCAGCAGCAGCCGGTGCACGTGCTGCTGGGCAGTTTGCTGGGGAAAACCATACTTCCCAAGGCTTCCTTGCTGATCACCACTCGGACGACAGTTCTGCAGAAGCTCATTCCTTCTCTGGAGCAGCCACGGTGGGTGGAGGTCCTGGGGTTCTCTGACTGGAATATTTCTACAACTATTTCACAGATGAAAGCCAAGCAATTAGAGCCTTTGGCTTGGTTGAGTCAAACAGAGCAGTCTGGACCCTGTGTCTCGTGCCCTTCGTGTCCTGGCTGGTCTGTTCTTCCCTGAAGCAGCAGATGGAGCAGGGGGAAGAACTCACACTGACCTCCCAGACAGCCACGGGCCTCTGTCTGCGCCACCTCTCCCAGGCTCTCCCAGCTCAGCCCCTGGGGCCCCAGCTGAGGGGCGTCTGCTCCCTGGCTGCTGAGGGTGTCTGGCAAGGAAAGAGCCTTTTCAGCCCAGATGACCTCAGGAAGCACGAGTTAGATGAGGCCATTATCACCACTTTCTTGAAGATGGGTGTTCTTCAAAAGCACCACACCTCTCCGAGCTGCAGCTTCACCCACCTGTGCTTCCAGGAGTTCTTTGCAGCAATGTCCTGTGCCTTGGGGGATACGGAGGAGAGAGGTGAACATCCTAACTGCATCGGAGTTGTGGAAAAGTTACAAGAAGCATACAAAAGCCATGACGTGTTTGGGGCACCAACCACACGTTTCCTATTCGGCCTTCTAAGTGAGCAGGCGGGGAGAGAGATGGAGAGCATCTTCAACCGCCGGCCGTGCCTGGAGAGGAGGCGGGAGCTGCTGCAGTGGGCCGAGGCGGAGGCCCAGGGCCTGCAGGCCCCGCTGCAGCCACGCTCTCTGGAGGTGCTCCACTGTTTGTACGAGACTCAGGATGAGGAGTTCCTGACACAGGCGATGGCCCATTTCCAAGGGATGAGTGTGTGTGTCCAAACGGACGTGGAGCTCCTGGTGTTCACTTTCTGCATTAAATTCTGCCACCACGTGAAGAGGCTTCAACTGAATGAGGGTGGACAGCACAGACCCACGTGGAGGCCCCCTGGGGTAGTCCTGTGAGTATCCGCCCCCTCCTCTCTCCAGCCCCTCTATTCGTCCCATGGGCCTGAATGTCCTGAGCACCGAAGGCACTGTCACTGGGCCTGCTCACCAGTGACTCCTAACTGCACAGTCTGACCACTGTTCTCTGTCCATGGTGGGACAAGTCCTGCTGGTTCCAGAGAAGCCTGGTGGGGCCCTGCCTTGAGCTGCGGCCCTTCTCCGACCCCGAGGACGGCCACCCGCCTTCTCTCCTGGACGCACTCCCCCTTCACACTGACCTTAGCTGCCCCCACGCTCCCTGAGGATCCCACAGCCCACCTGCCCCTGCTCCTCTCTCCACGTGCTTTCTCTCTGAGCAATTGCTCACTCGGCTGCTCTAGGAACCCCCTCAATGACATGAACATTGGCCCTGAGATCTTCCCCCACCACCTCAGAATGCATTTCTGAAAGGAAGCCCCCTATTTGTCTCTCAAAAACTGACTTCTTTGTTTGTGTCAGTGGTGCCACGATTGTCCCAGGCAGTCAACCTGAAACCCACCCTCTGAGCACCCGACAGCATCTTTCGCTAATCATCCTCCAGCCCAGCAATGCTGAGAACTTCCCCATCCGGCTTCCCCTGCCTCTGTTGCACTGTTGACCATAGTATTGGGATGTGTCTATCTCCCCCTTTAGATGGCTCATTCCATAAATATTTATTTAGCACTAATTTTATGCCAGGCCCTACACATCACAGACTAAAATGCACAATCCCTGACCTAAGGAGCTCAAAACCTGGGGGAGAAGATAGACATTCATCCAATAATGACAGTAGAGTGTGATGCCTTATTATAGGTATGAATACATTACTATACATAGTAAAGGTATGGTCAAGGTTCTATGGTGGCCAAAGGAAAAGAGTGACCACTTTCCTAAGGGACCAGAAAAGAAAAAATTCCCAGAGGAAGAAATATTTGATTTGGGTCATTTATTTTCAGATTTCTAAACTTTTTTGTCACAATAAAACTTGTGTTCACTGTAGAAAAATAATGACAGATAACTAAACAAAAAAATGAAAATTAATATGAACCAGAATTCCATCAGAGATGACTATCATTAAGAACTTATGGTCAACTCTAAGAAGACTATCCTTTTTTTCTATGCACACTTCTGTGGCAAAATTGAACCACACCATAGATTTTATTTCACATCAGCTTTATTTTCTGGATTTATCAAGGTTACAAGGTTACCTTCCTGTGTTAAGTAGTCTGATGCAACACCCTTTTAAATGGCCACATGGTACTCAACAGGGAAAGTGCCATGCTTGATTTGGCCATTCCAGTATGCTTGCCCATTTTAGGTTGTTTCTAGTTGTTTATGGTTATAAATGTGAAGTAGGGCTGGGCACGGTGGCTCACACCTGTAAATCCCAGAACTTTGGGAGGCTAAGGCGGGAGAATCACTTGAGGTCAGAAGTTCAAGACCAGCCTGAGCAAGAGCGAGACCCCATCTCTACAAAAAAATAGAAAAATTAGCTGGGCACGGTGGTGCACACCTATACTCCCAGCTAGTTGGGAAGCTGAGGCAGGAGGATCCCTTGAGCCCAGAGGTTTATGGTTGCAGTGAGATATGATGACACCACTGCACTCTGGCCAGGGTGACAGAGCCGTGTCTTAAACATAAATAAAATAATAAAATAAAATAACAAAATAAAATAAAACAGAATAAACGTAAAATAAAATAAAAAGAAGTAGGCCATGAAGGATCTGGATACCGGTGTTGCAAGTGGCAGTGGCCTGATGTGGGGCCTTCACAAGAGTCCTGAGCAGGCACAGAAGCAGAGGCCGGATGTGGGGCATGAGGAACCAGGAATATCAGGCCAGACCAAGAGAGCTTGGGACGGACACTGGCAAGTGGTGCCTGCAGGGATTCCACGGGACAGTCGGAGGCTGCAGCTGCAAGTGGGAAGGGGATTTTCAGGGCATGGAGTCAGCTAGGCCAGGCAGAGAGAACGTAAGGGGGCTCCTGTGCACAAACAGTCCAGGAAGAAATAAGGAAGACTGCCGAGGGTGGTGGGAAGGGAGACGAGGACAAGGAGAGAC